TCACCGATGCTTTTAATTGATTGCGGAAATGGAGTTTCGCCCTTCCTTCGTGTATTTTACACCTGTATATATATATATATATAAGCTAAAGAGGCAAAGCACAAATTACTTCCTCAGAAGTAATTCGGAAGTTCGTCGGCGCGATATGATTTTTCTCCTCGCACGGATTTCTCTCTCTTCTTGCGCAAGTCTTATAATCATCGCAAATCTGGTTTACACGCGTTGGATCGCGTCGAACTAAACGAGAGATAAAGAAGGACGAAGGGAGATGGAGACACGGATTTGTCCTTTGCGATTTATTTTTCGTAGGATAAAACTTGCCGGACGAACTTTCGAATAACTTATAGTCATCCCTGATAAAATATGTTTTCCAGGGATGAAATATGCCCGGGAAATTTCCCGCGGTTCGCCGTCTATCCTCGGCAACGTAACGTCCGAAACTTTTTCTCTCCTTATGAGCTTTTTACGAATGCTACGACATTAGCCGGATCGGCGACGTTGTCTTCCGAAAGAACGACGCGTCTGATCAAACGGAAAGGTATGGAACAACCGGAAAGCAAAGACCCGCTTTACAAGCTCGTCAATGATTTCGCCGCCAACGTTCGCGATTGTCAAAGTACCATGCTAGGAAAATAGGGATTGGATGGGAGTGTGCGGGAGGATGAAAGGGCGGCATGATTGCCTTTGATGCGAGCGATGAAGTAACGCTGCACACCTCGCGGCGCGACACAAAACCCTTTCTGTAACTCGCGCGTCTCTGAATCTCGTCGTTTATACGTGTACCTCTACTCTAGCCCTGCGAGGGACGAGTGAAACAGTACAGAGGCTGCCGCTGTGTGTCTAACCGCGTCTCTGGGTGTACCACTGTCTGTTAATATAATGCACGACACGCGCATGCAACACTTCCCGCGCCGAAAGTAACACGCACGTACGCTCGCTCGGCACGCACGTACGCACGCACGCTCGTTCGCGTTCGCTCACACGTTCTCGCCGTGCATCCTAGCCACCCATCCACCCCCTAACTGCTATCACGAAGGTAAACTACTGCGGTAATCCGGCGCGGCTATAATTTTAGGAACGCCTTTTAGTTACCGATAATTAACCGATAATCTCTTTCCGTCGAACTTTGGTCGAGGTACGGCGGCTACTTAATTGTACGCTCTCTTTTATTTCTAACTCGCGTTTCTCTCTCTCCCGACCCTTTATATCTTTGCTCGAACCTTCTCAATTCTTGCCGTTTTATCCACGACTGAAGATTTGTTTCCCTTCGTCGAGCAAGTTGGTTGAAACCGCGAAAAGTTATATCGCTCCGCCGTTACTTGAATAAATATTCCTAATTTCGTACTTGTCTAACTCCGGACGTACGTGAAATATTCCTAGCTTTATGCATCCCCCGTTGAGCGTTAAGAATACGTAACTGTGACTCTCTCTGCATTGTTTAATTTTCCGAGCCTGCGAAGTGCGTCGGCAGGAGCTGCAGGAGGAGGAAGAAGAGGCGCTTATCTCACGGCGTAGATTTTGCGTTCTCGTTCTTCCTTTCTTTTTTTTTTTTTTTGCGTCGAGCATGTAGAGGCTCATGGAATAGCGTAGTTATTCTAGCCTTATATAAATGCTAATATAAATGTTGTATATCGCTTCCCTGGATGCGGACGATGTATCTTTGGCAAAATTACAGCTCCAGCTACAAGTGCCTTTCCTGCCAAGTCCCATATGAAAAAATTTTACATCCCTGGAATTCGTTGCCGCGTCCCCTCCCCGTGACGATAGGTCGGTCGACGATATACATATACCGGGCGACATCACATTTTTGTGCAACCTTCTGACGCGGTATACGTGTCTCGAAAGTTTCGTTCTTAAGATCGATATGTGCCTCGACGACGACGACATTGATTCCGGAATAAGCGCTGAAAAATATGTTGACTCGCATTCCCAACTATGTGGAATTTGCCGTCGCCACCACCTTTAATCCCGTCTTTTTGCTCGTTCGCTTCTGCTCTCGACAACTTCTCTCTTTCGGATCTCGTCGTCGTTCGGATTTCGCTTCCGAGTCACTCGCGCGCGCGGAATCTTGCGCGCCTATATAAATGCTAATGTTATACATCGATGTGGGTTATACACGAGAGAGAGAGAGATCCGCGTCGAAGAAGTACTACAAATTTCGAGTCCGATGTAATCCATCTCACGATATTGCGCACGACACGCTATGATCTGTGATGATTGATCGATCCCGACCTCTCCGCGATAGCTCATTAATTAATAGGAAGAATCGAGCTATGAACTATGTCCAAATTGTGATTCAAATGAGGAATTTTGAAAGCGCGTCTATTAAAAGTATTACGCAATACTTTAGTAAAGTCATATTTAAAAAAAATTAGAAAAGAGACGTATAGATAATATATATAATAAAGATCAAAAAATAAATGCGCTGTAGATATTTTTTGCACAGCACAGGCGGTCTCTTTTTGAAGTCGCGAAAAATGGGTCGGTTGAATCTCGAGGTCATATCCTTCAACCGTATCGACAGCGCTCTGCCGACGTCGCCACCAAATGCAATTTCAAAGTAAAATAGAAAAACTTTTTCGAATTATACAGAACAATTGGTGCGCGCCGAGCAATTAAATACTTCCCAGTTCAAACTTATTGAATAAATTAAAGCGAGGCTCGTTTCAGCGACGATTAATACACCAACGTTAAACGCCAGGTCAGGGCTTTACTTCTTTTCTATCATGGCTAAAGGATTTTTTTTCCCCGAGATCTCGGCGTGTAAGCTATCGTTAAGCACGATTCTACGAGGATGTATGTGTACGCGAGGCCAGGATGATCCGGTTGGTTCGGATGCCAAGCGTGTGTTGGATTTCGCGCCAAATGTGCTGGCTTAGGTGGCGTGCATCAATTTACCAGCGTCCATGATCCCATCGACGCGATCCAAGGCTTGAAAAATGACTAGCAATAAAATCTCCCGAGCGTAAAGCGTAGGTCCACAAAAGGAAAAAAAAAAAAAAGAAGGAAGAAGGACAAATGGAAGAGAAGCGGGCGGTAACAAAGTTAAAAAAAAAAAAAGCTCTACCGAAAAATTTTGCCTTGAAAGTTTCCTCCTGCCAACTTTCGCCAACGTACTTGATATGCCGGACAGGCGAGACGTATCGATCCATCTATTTTTGATTCGGTTGAAAAGACTTGTTGTGGTGGAGGCTTCTCGAGAATTCTCGAGTGGCCTCCAATTTTCTTGGACGACATCCCTCAGGCGGAGATTTCCACTACGGGGACGAGAACTAATTTCGTTCCCGAAATAATGGTAGGTGCTCACAACTACGCAGATATATCAAAGCGAGCGTTTCCGCGGTATAATACAACTGCGGCATTTGCGCATAGCTACTTACTTGGAATATCCCAAACGCTGTGCCGAGGTGTTCATTTGTCCGCACAACCGTCGTCACGATCATTACTCTCTCCAGCTCCTCTATGTCCGTCTGTCTTTTTCGCTCTCTCTCTCTCTCTCTCTCTCTCTCTCTCTTCACGTACCTCTTCTCTTTCTCTTTTCCCTTCCACTTCTCTCACGAGTAATTTCTCTCTCTCTCTCTTTCGCGTCACCCCCTTCTTCCTAGGCACCCTCTCAGTTTTCCGCAGTCTCGAGTCCCCCTTCCCGCCGTGCACAAACACCGTGTACTACTTGCTTTTAGCTATCGAGAGAGCGTAGTAGATTGGTCCGCGCTACGCATCGTTGACACGCGTGTACGGGTGCACGCGTGTGATACACGCGCGCGCGCGCGCGCATACCCCTACGCTCGATTCACTGCAAATATCCCGCGGGTCTCATCCACCACCGAGGCAAATGGTACGGCTTCTCCTTCCCGCGGTGCGAGGGTAAACGCGTTCGCGGGGTTCGACCCACTTTGGAAGAGCGCAATTTCACGCGATCCGACCTCTAGCTGTCTTTGCCCGCTCGATCGATCGATGACTCCGATCGGTGATAGACCTTATTAAGCGCACTATGCTACAATTTCGTCGACGGTGTCGCAATGCGTGCCAATCGCGACGTCGAGTCTTCCCTGGTACCGTTGCTGCTGCTGCTTGCGGACGTCATGTTCGATTTCAGCGAACGGTCGCTAATCAGTCAGCTAATTTCGAGGCCCATCATGACAATCCCTCATTCCTCGCGCGCTCGTGATCTACTGATCGGGCCAACTCGAGCGGAGAGAGACGGATCTCTCCGTATATCGGGATATCGGCGGGGATGCTGGGGTCGGGACACGAGAGGGACCATGTGCCGCGCGCGCGCTGCTGGCGACGCAGATGCTGTGTGTGCGTTCCAAAACACGCAGAAGGTCGCGCGTTCTCGTGTAGAAACGCGAGCGCGTTCTCGTGTGCGTTCTCGAAGGCACGCAAGCACCGCGTCGATGATGCGTCGCGTCGGCTGGAGGCTGCGGGCCGCCCGCGGTCCAGACTGCCGCGCAATACACTGGGAGCCGACGGTGCCGAGCGCCCGGGAGAACCCGCGGGAGCCCATTCGTGGGTGAACGAAGCCCTCCGAAAATCTGCGAAGATCCTCGATTCGATACACTCGGGGTCGCGCCACCAGCGGCGTCGAAGGACACGGACCGACCACCGGGGACTACCTGTCGGACCGATCACAGCATCACCACCACCGCTGTGTAAAAAGAGTGCGGAATCTTTCGCCTCTCTCTCTCTCTCTCTCTCTCTCTCTCTCTGAAGCGCCGGGCTCGTTCGCCTCCTCTCGATAAAAGTCCACAATAAAAGAACCATACGCGATCGTTTCCTTTCCCTTCTTTTTCTTTTTTATCCTTGTCGAGCGCGGCATGATCACTTACGTGCTTTTAACAGGCGGAAAATTGAAAGCGGATAGTTTCGCTAGGTTTATACGCGCGAGAACGTACTAAATTGACGATTCCTCTAAGCTCGAAATCAGGGATTACACCGTCCGTTGTCGTCGTAACACCACGGTCACGGAGCGTTAAACTCTCATTGAAATAGCGGTGCATTGATTTTGGATTATGAATGTTACACGGTGGACACTTGGCAATGAGCGACACGCTGAGATAAACTCTCGTGGCGAGGAAAAAAAACATCGCGTTTGTAAAATAAAGTATATTTCATCGCGCGTTTTTACATATCAACGCGCGAACAATTCATATCGAACCGACGTTATATTGTATTTATATCACGATAAGAAGAATGATCCCATGAGATATTATATGTTCAGTCGCATTTCAGATTATTCTACGTTCTCTCTTGATGCTCGCGGTGCTACGTCAAGCGTCAACAACGGACTATAGATGTCTTGCATAAATATAGTTGACGTAATTCAATCCTTTCTGTATGTATATTGCATAAATATCGCATAAATTTTATACGCTGAAATTTATTCTATACATATATCCTTTTTTTATCCTTATGTCATCTCGTGTCGAAATCAAATATTCTTCGCGTCTGCTTATATCTCTTGCTCTGTATCGTTTCTTTAATACTACGAAAGGTAGCATTTTGACACGAGAGAGAGAGAGGTCGGGTTATGGGATTAGATTCGGTAGATACGACTTTACCTATGATCCTTTATTTCTATGATTTCGATTTCCCATCGTTGTCGTGGCACCAAGGCCTTCTCGTCGGTTATCGATCGACACGGTGACTTCCGGTGCAATTTCGGTGGCAATGCGCGGAGAACGTCGTTGTCGCGGAATACAATTTGGAAATATGGATTCAGGATGCTGACTAGCGAACATCGGCTCATGGCCCGCGGGTGAGCAACATTATCCAGAACGGTGGTGAATCGATCAGAAAATTGGATGAAATTGTTGCGCCGATATAAATGTTAAGAATCATTCCCTCATGCTTGTGTGTTCAACTGGAAATTCAGTGAAAACGCATTGATTTGCTCTAATGTACCGAAGAGCTTCCAATTTTTTTGCCTCCCTCGTATCTACGTTAATCCTGAAATATCGTTATCGGTTTCGCAATACTTTCTTTCGTTTCTCATGGGATATGAATTTTTTCACATGTTTAATGCCGCGTATTTAAAGATTAAATCGTACGAATTGTATAATTTAATAATGTATTGTATCGTACGTTGAACTTAAGATATTAAGATAGAGCCGATGAAAGGTTAGTGCCAATAAGGTCCGAGGTAATAAAATCCTTTTCGCCTTTGCCCTGACAGTTTGTACTCAATAAAGAGGAATTCTTCGTGAAACCGGTGTAAATCTTGCCCGGAATTCGTTGAGCGCCAAGGTACCCAAGATTTGTAAGAGAGGTCGGCGGGGGTTAGACGCTACCCGTTCTGATTGGATTCCCTTAGGATGTTCTTCGCGGCATGGTCTTTTCTAGTCGGTCGTTTCTGAGTTTCGTAAGAATGGAACGGAGTAATCGGCTACAGCTATATATTCTGTTTCCGCGATGAACCGGTCTGTCTTTTATTCCGCATAATGAACCTCATTCCGCGAATGTAGAGATTATTAAAGCTGCTTTATCCCCTTTATTTTTTATCGAATGGTACGAGCAAGTACTTATCATTTCCTAGCGTTCTTTGCCGAGCATAATTGCCGAGATAAAACTATTTATAACAAGAGTCTATTAGAACAGGGAGAGATTTTTTCCTCTCTTTATAAAACTGCTTCTTTAGAAAATATTTATAAAGGAAATGTAGAAAAATTGTGAAAGGGCATACGAATCTCGATATTACAAAATCAAGATAATATTTTTATACGATTCTTGGTAATGCTGTTGCAGAGGAGACGCAGTATTGATCGAGAGATCCAAATTTCTTGGTGGAGAGACGCAATGCCCGCCCTCCGCGCATCTCTGACCGCGTTTACGCGGAAGGGTCGAGGAAAGGGAGAGTGAAAGGGAAGGGGGAGAAGAAGAGCAGCCCTCGCGGCGGTGTTTATCGGACGATATGTGTGTGAATATTTTGCGAATCGAACAGTTTTGAATCGTCGATGCGAGCCGAATTAGCCCGAGCGTCCTCGAGCCTCGTGCAACGCGATCGATTCGAAATAAAGCAGAGGTTTCGCGCTACCGACCTTCCGCCAACCTCTCTCCTCCCTTCCCCTCCCCTCCCACGCATGTGAAAGATCCGCAGCTTCCCACGAGATTGGTGCATTGTCCCATATTTAATCAAGTCCAGCTTCGCACCAGCTTTCGATGCGAAGTCCTGGCGTCCATCGCGTCTAATCCAAAGCTGACATTACGCGCGAAGTGCTTTTGGGATGTTCGCAATTAGCCACGTGAGAGCTGCAATGGAGATACAAATTCGACGACAAGATCATGCATAAAGAATGTTTTCGGTTTCCAACAAGTTCATCCTCTCGCTATTTTTACACTTTCACTTAAAGGATCTTCCTAGTTTGACACTCTGAAAATAAGACGATTTCTGGGAATTTAAAAAAAAAGTATAAAACATATTAATTCTAATCTTTGTACGTTTATTAAATAACATTTCAAATCCCGCATTTTTTTCAAACAAAAATATTTGTTTGTTTCGAAGTTATAATAGTCCAACTAGGGCGTCTTAAAAAAAATTGTTATTCGTGGCAAACATGATTTCAACCGTTATAGTCATCTGAAATAAAAAAACCAAAAAGATTCTTAATCTGTATGAGTGTGGCTATTGCGTGAACTAGAATAAAAAGAAATATTGAAAAATAAGAAAATGGCAGCGTCTCAAAAAAAAAGTATCATTTTTCATCAAAAAATTGATTAGTTTTGTAAATCGCAAAATTTGAATTTTACAAATATCGATTTAATTCTAGTTCACACGATAACCACACTCATACAGATTAAGAATCTTTTTGGTTTTTTTTTATTTCTGATAACTATAACGGCTGGAATCATGTTTGTCATTTTTTTTTTTAAACATCCTGATTGAAATACTATAATCCCAAAACAAACAAATATTTTTGTTTGAAAAAAATTCGGGATACATTTGAAATCTTATTTAATAAACGTGCGAAGTTTAGAATTAATGTTTTATATTTTTCTTTAAAAAAAATTCCCCAAAATCGCCTTTATTTTCAAAGCGTCAAACTAGGAAGACCTTAAAAAGTTTGAGTATTTATACTATAAATTATGAAGCAAGTTTTTTCAGTAATTTTCATGGAATGTTTTAGAGAAAGAGTATCTACATTGTAAACAAGATGAGGTTAAAGATTCACTATTTTTGTTGAGATTTTTTTCTGTCCATTCTCCTCTCTATGTGTATTTTACGTCCGACGAACTTTTGACGACTTCCTGATTGTCGAAGGAGAGATCCTCGAGAAGATCCTTGACCTGCCTCTCAAAGAAACTAGCAAAGAGATCGACGCAGGACCATTGTTGTTGTTGTTTTTTTTTTCTTCTTTTTACGTCTTTGTACAACTCTTGGCGAGAGAGCAGATGTACTCTTTGACCTCTCAGCGGTTGTGAGCCGTCTCGTTTGTTCAAGGGCCGCCGTTGCTTCTTATTCTCGCCTCACCGCACCGGGGGCAAACTTTCCCCCGGGAATCTCGAAACCGCTGTATGAATCGCGTCGACTGTAATTACGGTGCTAAAAGTACGTGTTGGATTCTTTCGACAAAGTTGCTTGTAACAGAGCTACTGTTGCTGTTTCCCCCAGGACTATAACCGCGAACGTTTGCTCTCATCTCACGATTCACTGGATATATGTCGCTGAAACAACAACAATGTATTGCGCTACTTTATATAACTCCCGTTATATACTGCCTCTTTCCGTCGTGAAAATTTCCGGACAACTAGACGAAATAAGGCAATCATTCTTACTTGACGTCTTCAAGGTGTGCAATAAAGTAGCTTGACAGATCGTTGTAATAAAAATAAATTACAATACTTAATTATTACAATACTTAAAAATAAAATTAATGAAATCAAAATTGCTGCATCTATATTAATTTCTTATTAATTTATTTTAATAGCAAACGTAATCATCGTAGATGTAATAAATGACACTATCATGATCTGATTCAGATAAACTAAAAGACTGATTATTTTTTTTATGTTATTTACAGCTGTAATCTTCCCTTATAAAATATAAAATATTAAAATATGTAATTTAAGCTGCATTTTTCTTTTTTATATTTTTTTATATTACATATTTTAATATATATAAAAAGCATTTGTAGTAAATTTTATTATAATAGTAGAATCTTTATTCCCATGAATTGTGGCGTTGTAAGTTATTTCTGTAGCGCGTGTCGTTAACATGGGACTCTACACGAGATGGTAAAAGAGTTCTCAGAGGGAACTATACCAGATGTTGGTAGTCTGAAATCTTTGAATGGAATCATTCATAAACACTTGTAGATCCATTCCAACAGTGGTTACAGAACTATTAATTGACAACTTACTAGATGGCGTCTCTGATCTTTTTACGCATCTCTTGGCTATAATGCAAAGAATGTAAGATATGAAAGTATGCGTCCCTCTCTCTCTTTCTCTCTTCCCCTCCGGCCAGTTTGTCGAATAGAATTTCATATCGAGATTAAA